AAAGAGTAAAAATAAAGTGCAAATAAAAATTAAAAAGAAGAAAAAGAAAATCAGTTCTCTATAAGTAAAACCAAAAAAATGACAAATTTTCTCTCGATAAAATGCAGAGACCACGTGACGTAAAAAATAACTACCTATGGCACTGTTCACGGAGATGCACATACTAGAACTACATGTAGCTTACAGCCTATAATATACAAACTGATGCCGAAGATTGTTTCAAGGTAAATAAACCAGAAGTGTGATTTATTATTGACAGACCTCAAGCACTGTGGGTTCTAAGTGGAAAAAGGGTTGTCAATACGATAAGTACTTGGCGAGCAAACCCAAAGTGCGACCGCACTTAAAATCTATCAGCACGAGCATTTTCTAATGCCACCCAATTTTTGCGATTTTTTATACATTGCGATAAAAGTAATTTATTGACCGCAATGATTGAGATTAGATTTTTTGATAGATTCAGACATTAACGTTTTCTTTTTTATTTTACATTTAACTTCAGAAATAAAGTTGATTTCTTTTTAGTTGCTTATTAGATGGTCTCCACGAACATAAATTTATCGCCTGTCGTGACAATGTCACGAATTTATTGTATGTCTTGGTCAAATCCCGGATGACAAATCCATACGAACGCTTCTTAAACATTTCATGAACTTACCAGATATTTCTGATCTACTTGACTTCGAGTTCTTTCTGTAACGTGCATGAATGGGCTTCATGTCAATATCAAAGGCACTGTAGAGTGATAATTAGTTCATTGAGACATTACTCAATAGGTAACCACATGGGGGGGCTTGTGATCAAAAAATTGATTTGATGAGAAAAAAAAGAGTATGGTAGCAAGCCTTCGATCTTCCTTTTCTTATCGGACTAGGGAATTGAATCAGGGGCAAGCGACCTTTCTCCATTGGAACTATTTCATTTGCCACAAACTGTTAACAACAAAAAAAGTTGCTCTTGTCTGGAAAGGAAAGAAATCACATTCTGTCTTGTGTGATAGCGACACACTGATTTAACTTTTTGTTATTGTTCTGTCTGGAAATAACTTTTAAGCTAATCCACGGTTGTGTATTAAAGGTGTGCCGAAGAGATAAGAGACTCGGGGAGACTGCAATTTCTGCCTTTGAATATGACGCTTTGTTCCAGTAGTTTTAACAATCGATAATTGTTGTTTTAGGGAAAAGCAATAGCATATATTGGTGGATTAAATCTTTTCCGATGAGTACTCTTGTATCTATTTGCTTTTCATTTGTGATAGCTTCTAATAAGTGCTGTGCAAGCTATTTCCAAACATTTCCAAACTATTGTGCGAACTTTCGTGCAAGACGTATTCACTAAGCAGCGGGCTTAACAGACACATCAGTAAGAGCTAAGGTAAATATGAAGGCTTGAGGAATTATTTGCGAATTGCAGGAGTCGCGTAGACCCGCCACCTTTTAAATTGTTTGTGGACGGGCCTCACCTGAATGAGATAACTGAGCTTTCCAGAAAGACTCTCCCCTAGCGGCCTAAACATATCTTTTCAACATATTTTTTTATCATCAACAATTACGGTAGAGATACTTCTAATTAGGGTTTCCATTACCTTTTTTCCAGTGAGCCGAACAATAAAACAGCCCATAGAGCTCACAATAACACAATTTCCTGGTTTATTCCGCTTCAATCTAATTCACGAAACTCTCACTAAATTCGATGGAAAAACGTTCCATAAACTCGCGCTCTCACAACCTTCTTGTTAATTTTTTTCACACGCACGTGCTCACCACCTTATTTGGTAGCCCTTGCTCAAATTTGGTAGTGCTGCTCAACATCACAAAACTGTGAGGGGTAGGCTTGGTAAATCTCTCGTACACCAGCTCTTTCTCTGAACTGCTCGATTCTTTGTAGTTTACAAATAGAAATATATTAAGAAAAAATTGATAAACAGTGCCTATACACTTCGGAATCGCTAGGAGTACCACCAATAAAGACAACGGACCACGTGGTGGGTCAAATTTAGCATTCAAGTGAAACCACAACCATAAAAAAGTAACTGGAAAAAAAAACTTACCATCTCCAGAGACAACCGAGGAGTAAGTCCTTTTTTGTCCTTTTTCTTGTTTAGAAGAATCCATCAGTACAAGGTTTATATTCAAAGGTATATATTCAAGGTATATATAATTAACGCGAAAAGGTGTCGAGTAACTGACGATCTCTC